GAATGAATGTAGTGTAAAGCGCTTTGGTCAAGTCTCCTAACTTGAATAAAGGCGCTATATAAGTACATGCCATTTACCATTTACCATATATCAAGACTGAATTGCAAGTACATGTCTGTTAATGCTATTATTTTCTATTTGCAAATTGTGCATCTATTGGCTATATATATATAAATAAACATGTGAAACATATTCCTACAGCAGAAAACTGCTACACATGACTGCATTTTCATGGCGCGACTCCATTAGTGTAGGGAGTACCAAGATGGCAGCAAGTGACTTCAGTTTTTTTTCTCCGGCCTATCGGCTATCCAGTGAATAGAGGTTTTAAGTCAGAACAAAGCTGCCAGGTCCAGCTTGAACAGTCCTTCCCAGATGGTTTAATGCAAACTTCAGTCAGACTGTTGTGTTTTCCTGAGAGATTAAAATATTCCTCCTCACCTTTCCCTAAAAATAAATATAGTTTTCTGTAAATTACACTTCGGGGTTCTGTGAATTTCTTTTAGGGTCTTGCCATCTGCTTTCAGGAGGAGTTTAGCTGGACGGCCAGATCTAAACATTTTGGCAGTCTTTTCTTGCTCTTTTCCTCAGGCAGTGTGAAATCTGTGATTTTCAATTCTTTACCAGACTGATGTTAACCCTTCTACAGCAGTCTGGAGCAAGCCACACTGAGGCTAAAAGAGAGCGAAGCTTTAAAATCTTTTTACTATAATTTCAACCCATTAAATTAATATTAGGATACAACAGCTTATCCCTCACCAGATATTACACATAATTCAGTTCTTATTAAACATAGTCAAAACTGATATCCACATGTCCAAATATACACTCCATCACAAGATGCCCTAATTGTTTAATTCAACCACTAAGCAGGCATTTTAAAAATATACTTCATGGACTGAAGTTCTTTCATTTTTAAAATAAAACAGACATAGGTTGTGCAAAGGAGGAGGAAACAAATGGACAAGTTATAACCCAAATAAGTAGACATTTTGAACCGCTTTAAAAAATGGTTGAATTGTAATAATAAAGTTAATTTGAAAACTCTATGGTTAGTTTACTTTAATGAGTATGGGATTCTGATATACACTTCAGTTGGTATTACATGCTGATATTTAGGTGTTTTTCTGAATTTAGCTGAATTGACTGAATGCTGGAGAATTTTAGGTTAACTTGATAAAGGGGATTCAATCATTTATTGCCGTAGATGAACCACAACAGAACACACCTATAGCGCTCTGCATGTGCGATATCTACTTCCTAAAGTCATTGTTGGCCTGCTTTTTTACTGATTTAACATTTGTTCTCAGTTCTCCGCCTTGTTCATTTAAGTTTGCACACCACAATCATTTAACTAATAAGAATGAATTTTGATTAATTTGAATTAATCTGATTCAAATATTCCTGGGTAGCTTCATGCTGATGGCAGCATCATGATTTGGGGATTTTTTTTTTGCAGCCAAAGATGCTATATTAAAATATTACATATGATTCATGGCTAGGTAAATCATATCAATTCTTTAACACAAGGGGTCCTAATACTCAGCATTTTAGAAATAAGCAGGAGGTTGTTATTTTCAACATTTCAAAGTTTATTTAAATTTTATTTCATTTTCATACAGTATCAAGTTTCCAACAGTCCCACAGCATAATATGCAGCATGCAGAAAAAAGGTTCTCAAACTTAAACGTTTTCAGATATTCCCAAGCAAACTAAAAAGAACCCGATTCCCTCAGAGAAAAAAGTAGCACTTACAAACTAAAGCGCGGTCTGAACTATACAGAGAACAGAGAGCCAGAACTGCATTTAACAAATACTTATATACAAAAAAAAGAAAGAAAAAAAAAATGAAATCAAATTTCCCCTTTAAGCTGAGTACAGTGTGTGGCAGTTTGAGACAGGATCAGATATGCAACTTTTACTGGAATCGAAGCATCTCGCTGACCCGGGTAAAATACAAAAAAACTTACATGTAGTTCAGTTCATTTGGATTACCGCTCATAATATGTGTACATTTACCAAAGTTTGGCAACATCCATATTGTATACCGTAAAATTCTTAAATATATTAACATCACCATCCATGTGTAAACAAGTTTTTATTTCAAAAAATTGATCTACATGCACAACAAAAAATATACTTCCATGTCATGCAAGCACAGGGGGAGGCCCAAGCCGTGCAGAGCTCAGGGGTGGGGAACTATTGAGCACTCCAGATCTGACTGAATATTCCTGTTAAAACTAGCAGTTGGCCTCCAAAGCAAAACGGACATTTATCCCAATGCTGTTTATAGTAGGAAGCATTTTTTTCCACTTGGGAAAAAAAAAAAAAAAAAAAACGCTGAATTTAAAGTGTTTCCCCTCCCTGCTTAAAGCGACAGGTGTAGGAGAAGGTGGACAACATGGTTGTGAGACAAAAAAGAAAAAAAGAAAGTGGGATTGGAAGCCAACTTTTGAAATGTACACGCTCGAGATAAAAGTGAAAAAAATCCTAAAAACTAGTCTAACGCCATTTGCACACTGATCATGCTAACGTGTTAAGATTAAGTGTTTTTGCGTTGAAGGAAACTGACTCGTCCTGTGCTGCACTGAGACATTTCAGAGAAAAAAGCTTCCTCCCTCCTGCTGTTCCATAAGATGAGCACACATTGATTACCTTATATACACATATCGGTTTAAAAACAAACAAAACCGCTGCCTGCAGGTAAGTCTCTTAAATTGCTTATCTCACAATTGTTCTCTCCGCGGTGCTTTGCCAAGGTCATCCAGCATGGTCTGCTAAACGTCACAGAAAAGCTCGGAAACAAGTTCGTTAGCGATTGCTGAGCCGTTCTCTGCATTGGAGATTGTCTTACAGACACACTCTAAACCACTTATGAGTTTGCAGCCATGATTTTTTTAAAACAATTTTTATTTATCTGGAAAGACATTTTCTTGGCATTATTTTAACCTAGCTAGAATTTCATGACAGGAAACAGCGAGGATGTCCGACAATATAAACACATTCTTACGTATAAATAAAACTAGTAATCATATTGGGGGCAGAAAAGAAAGAAAGATGAGAAGTGTTGCTAAGAGTGATTGGAAGCCTTACTGGTCGATTTAAACTGAGTGGGAAAAATAAAAAAAATCACGGCGAAAAAGAAAAATGCTTCGAAATTTGGGTTTGTATTTACGATGCCTCGCAGTCGTGCAGTTGGAAGCGTCGCGCTCCGGTTTTCCTGGCGTGAATGAAAGCAGTGATGATAGTTAATAACTTCAACTGGTTTGGGATATGTTCTGGTTGGCACTTCATACCCTACTTTCTAGCTGTACTGCTGCAAATGTAAATACACCACACACTTCCTCTCAAAAGAAAAAAAATGCAGATATATAGTTGTATTTTTTTCTTTATAAAAGACAAAATAAATATCAAAATGACAATCAACAAAAAAAGGATGAAATATGAACAAGCCAACCAGCCTCTTCACTGCGCCCTCCTCTAATTAGCCCCTCCCTCTTCCACGACCCAGAAATGCTCCTGCAAATGACCAAATGGATGTCCTTCAGTCTCTTAAAGTGCTACGACCGGGTTATTGCGGATTTACAGTTCAATAACACTTCAAAGTTGGCTTCACGAGGCCCGCGTTTTGTTTTTTTTCCAAAATAAAAACCTTAAAGAAAAGAAAAAAGCGGCTTCACAGAGAGAGATAGACATAAAGAGAGAGAATACTTCCATTGAGTTACACACAGAGCGTTTTGCCAGACGTCTTGAGCAGATCTTCGGAGATGGTGGAGAAAGCGAGTGTCGAGGGCGAGGAGGGGGGGATTCAGCAAGCAGAGGGTGCTCACACGTCCACCACCATCTTTTTGTGTATATCGAGGCCGCCGACCACCTGGAGGGAGAAAGGAGAGGTCAAACAAAGGAATGCAAACCCTTTTCCCCTATTATTGGAAACTTATTTGATCAAGACGATAACAGCCAAACAAATAGGTGCTCATCTTTTCAATAGAACCCAGAATTAACTGGTTACCACCATTAAGGTTTACCATGGGAGTGCAAACGTATAAAAATGTTCAGTCAGGCCACAGCTCCAGTTTAAATTTAGAGAAAGCCTCGCTAATCAGCCGGGTGAAGAGTGTGAAAGTAAAGGTTTACCATCTCTTCTATGGTTTCAGGTTAATCAGTTAAATAAAAAAAAATAAAAAAGATTTATATTACTTGATTAGGAGGTAATCTAAATTTAACAGTCAACCAAAGCTACAGCATGCGACTGCGGTCGCTTCACATCTGCATTACCTCACTTCACTGACCGCATACAGACATTGGACTAGCTCAAACACAGAGACCTTGGACTTTAGCTCTGGGTATTTTTTTAGCTTAAGCATCAAAACTAGAAGATAAAGCAAAACTAAAGAGGGTAAATGTTAACTGACACAGGTGGATCTTCACACTACACAGATTCTTCTATTAAAAGTGACAAAATAAAATTATGCTGAATTAAAACTAAATCATGTAAAGGGTTAGGGTTACAACTTCTGAAACATGAGGTGTTTTTATTTGATTTACCAAAACCGACTTTGATAAAACCATCAACATTCAGGATGCAAGGAGCAGCAGGTAAAGGACTGCACTGGAGCAGGAGGTCATTTCACACCACATTAAAAATATGGACTCATGTGGGAAGACCTAAAAGTAGTTAAGTTTAAGTTTGTCAGGCATCGGGCTGCAGGCTAGCTTCCTCTGCAGATAGACCAACTAATCTAAAGCTAAGATCAGCGTGCTTGTAGATGGGTACACTCTCAAAGAGAAAATTGAATCAGCAGCTAAAAAGCAAATGTAGGTCGTTTACACTGGAAAAACGATCTAGAAATAAGTAAAGATTTCTTAAATTAAGTCTATTTACCCTTAATTTGAGCAGGTAAATGAGATTCTTCAAATAAGATAATTAGATATTATACACTTGAAATAAGGCAATGCAATTGTGTTTTCTTATTTTAAACCTAAATAAAAATAATCTTGTTCCATTGGCAAAATGTCTGTTTTATCTCAAACCAAGAACAAATGCACTTATTATAAGACAAAATGACTTATCTAGATTTCGATTTTCTCTACTGTAGGAAGCTGTTTGGTAACTCAGAAGGGTAGTATATGCATTTTAGTTTTTGCGTACATGGTCACCTGTCATAATGGGTAAAATGCAATGCTTAAATAATGTCACCGCCAAGCTTAAATAAGATGTAAGAAGCTTGTTCACTGATGCAGTTCACTGCATGGATAGGGCTGGCTGTCCCAAAGGACTCTGGGATTTGTAGTTGTGATGATTAATGAGCTGCATACCAACTGATCGGTTTTAGTGCATCTAAAACAGAACTGACCCTGATAGAGCTGTTTCATATGTCTGCCCTAAGAAGACAATAGAGATTCATAGGGAAGGATAAAATGGCTCCAAAGGTGGAAGTTTTTTGTTTTTTAAAATGAGGCTGTTTACTGCTTAACATTATGGTTATGGTAGTTTTGCTGCAGTTTTACAAAAACTGAACAAATAAATGCAGCCAAACAATTTCTAAAGCAAAAGAAAAAGATTTACCAACAGATGAATTAAAGAGTAAATAATAGTTCAAATTTCAGTTCAATATCTAAGAGGAAGAGTGAGAAATACCCTAACGTGAGATGATTTCATTTAAGACCTATTCTACGTTGACACCAAATGCAGTAAAAAAGCTTCTGCTGCTTCATCTTTGAAGCTTTGTCCTCATTAAGGTCAGACCCCAAGTAAAGTGTGTCCAGATGCATCTGATGCTTGTTCTGCTCCTGTTTTCAATGGAAGAGAGCGGCTTTGCTATATTTGCTGTGATAAGATGGTAAAAAATAATTTTTATATATTTTTAAGGGAGAAAGTCCATCTTAAAACATCATTTTTGCAGTCAGTTTAAAAAGATTACGATCCTGCCTTAAAATATTTCACTGTCGGAGCTGCGCAGACCCCCACATACAGGTGGCAAGCTATCACTGGGAATGAATGCCCAGCTGGAACTCCGTCAGCCTCTTGGGGGTTTTCCGCTATCGTTCATGGCGGCTGAAAGTAGATGTTAATGTTTTTCAGGTATATGTGACGAACTTCAGGCAACCAAATAATAAAAGCGAACATATTTTGCTGGCAGGCTTCGACATTTTAAGTTAATTTAGATGTTGATAAACAGTTTCAGGGGACAGATCATTGCGCTTACATTTCCCAGATCCGCTCCTCTTATTGGTTGATGTGGCAGTTCTAATTTTTCAACTCCAGCATCTTCTGTTTATGAAAGGCTTCATGCACCTCAGATGCGTCAAGACGCTCTGCAGGACCTTTTGATGCGCATCAACTGTGGACTTTTCATGAGCAGCTGCTGCTCAAATCACATTTGGTGTCAACGTTGTATAAAAGTGTAATAACTGCTGTGTTAAATGTCCTTAAACAGCTACATTTCTATACATTTAGAGAAATCCAACCAGCAGCTCAAACAAGGAAGGATGCTCTTTAACAAGAACTCAAGATGTTAACATTCAATAGATCAATTAAAATTGATCTATTGAAGAGATGAAACTAATCGCTTCCAATCAAAAATGTTTCCTTATTTTGTTAACTATCCAACCAAAGCTGGGAGGGATGTATGATTTGTATTTTAATCAGGATAAAGAACAGGTCATAGTTGGTATTTTAGGGCGTTCATTTCTAGATCCTGCTGTTTGGAATAGTCTGTTTCTGATCGGTCTCCTATTTGAAGACATTCATATCTTAGCAAAGTATATTTTAAAACAAAGTAGAGCATCAGTATGAAATGTAAAGCCAGTATTTGTAATTTTACATAAAAACAGAAAGAAATGCATCTGAAAAAATGAGATTAATCACAATCAAGCTCCTGTTAGTCAATAGTAGAACCTACTTTAGAAGCAGTTACAGCTACGTCTGTCTGATTACATCATCCAGACTTATGACATTCTTAGATCCATTTTTAAATAACGATATAAATATTTGAGTACTTATAGGTTTTACCATTTCTTTTTTTTATCTCCACATCAGGAATCTGATGTTAAAAACATTCTAGACTGGATTATTCTAGATAAGCTCTCCCAAAACTCCCAAAGCAGAAGGAATTTAAAAACATTGTTTTGATCTGAACTGAAAACAGGTTATAGTTTAAGACCCAAATGAAAATGGTCCAAAGACAAAAAATTATTGTGAAATTATCCTATTTTTTTAATCAAGTCTGTGTATCTGCTTGTAATCCATAAGCTGAAGAAGTTGTGATGAAGAAGCCTAAAGATCATCTCAGAAATTTAGATCTTTGTCTTGTAAAGTGGAGTTTTAAATTCTTTATCCTAGTAACCCAGAACTATGCGACTTCTTTAGGATAGAGCTTGGTGATGCAGCTTGGAAATCTATCTTTGATATTTTTCTACCAAGGTTGACGAATCTTTTTTTTCCTGCCTTACAATTAAAGATAAAAAAAAAAGAAAAAAATGACATGCATTACTTTAAAAAGCTAGCTTTTATTTCAATCATCCCCTCTGCAAAATGACCTTGATTGAAGAAATTCAAGCTGGGAAACGAGCTTGTAAAATAACCATTTTTCACAACAAACACTGAAAATATAACAAACTAAATGTTCACAGCTAGTAGTATTACAGTCAGCTAGTTTATCTGTTGTGAGTAGACATCCAAGGATAAAAGGAAGTCACAAATTAAAGTCACTCTGAGATGGTGGGGCAAAAAAAAATAAATAAATCAGTTTTTCTTAAATGTTGATAAACATAAAATGTGATGAACAGATCAAATATTCTTTCACAGATAAGATTGAATAAAACCGGATACGGCTGTATTTTTTTTTCTTCTTTTTAAAAAGGCACCGCCTCTTTTTCCATCTACTTCACAATGAGTGTTGCTGTGTGTTAGATTACCTACAATCCTAATAATAAACCTCAATGTTTGTAGCACTAATGTGACAAAACGTGAGACACTAGTGATGAATATAGTGTGGTTCCTGTACGGCAGAGGAGCAGCACATGTTTGAACAGAACCATGAAGCGATGAGATTCTACTTCCATATCCGAGTTGTAAATACTCCATCTTTGTTTTACTACCAGCACCCTTCAAACAGCATCTTTTTTCATCACATTCAGCTGATGTTTACACAGCTTCTCTGACACAAACGCTCGGACCAAAAACGGCTACAGACTCTCTATCCTTTGAAGCACAAAATGTTTGAGCTGCAGTATTTTTTTTCATCTTGCATCAGTCTCAAAATACACACTTAAAAAAAAAATGGGTGGGGGGAGATTTTAGTTCAAAGCTCTGGAGATCTAGCTGTCAAAAAATGGGTCTTGCGTCTGTCGGAGCCAGATATAGAGCCTTTTATTTCAGAAACTGGCTCGGAGTGACACTAGTCCCTCTGGGGACCACCAAAAGACAAGTTATTGGATTTATTTATTTAGGTAGGCCACCCACTGTGTTAAAGCAACTCTTTACCACTATGATCTGAAATGAGCTGGTGTAGTTTTAATTTGCATAAGAAAACTGGATTAGAATTTGGTGCCACAGCAGGGAAACTGTGCTTCTCTCTCTCCAGAGCAGATAAGTCTTATCACACCAGACCTCGGGATCGCTGGATGACACAGCTCCTCCCACATAAGCGGCGCTCACTCACTGAAACTGAAACCCAGAGCTGTTGAGCCCCAGCGAAAAACCAGCGGTCTTTCCAGAGATTTCTTTCCCCTTTGACCTTTTACCGCCTCCACAACCGACAGCATCAGCAGAAATGCCACCGCCCCCAAAAATACCCCAGGAGAGCTTCGACTCACTGCACAGAACTCTTCAAAGGATATCCTGCCGTCTCCATCCTTGTCTGCGTTTATAATGGTCTTGTCCACAATCTGCTGGAGCTGCGTGTCCTTCAAGTTGTTGCCCACCATCATCTTCAGTACTTGGAAGAGCTCGCCGTTGGAGATGTAGCCGTCCTTATCCATGTCGTAAATCCTGAAGGCAACTGTGGATCCGCATGTGGCGTGAAAAGAGAAAATGAAGTTAGTTATATGCAAACCCTCAAAGAAATATCACGTATTGATTAGTAATGCCTCTTTAAGGGTTAAATAATAAGTCTGACGTACTGAGGCTGACTGCAAAGAAATTAGCATCAGGGCTAATCTTGTTTAGGAATAGAGATGGGTGGAAATAAAGAGAAGACACATTTATCCTTTTAAGCAGTAAAAACGTGTGCCTTGATAAGATGGCCTAAACAAGCAGAATAACCTCTGGCCACATATGGAAGTAATGCAGCAGCAGGTTTACTTACATCGCAGTTTCTGTTCTTTGTCGCCCTTGACGCTGAACTGTGAGACTCCTTCAATAAATTCTGAAAAAGAAAAGAAAAAAAAGAAAAGTTGAAGCTCCTCTGGAAGGTCACGCATTAAAATCTTATTCCATCACTGGATTGTTTTTCTATGAAACTTAAAGCTCAATGCAAATTCAGATCTGGAAATGATACTGCACTACAGTTATGGTCCCCGGTTTATTTTTTCCCCAAGATTAACTGAAAAACTGCAATATTTCGATTCAAAAGTTTCCATTTTAATGAGACTAAATGTTGGTAGTTAATACAGTTTAAATCATTTTAATGATACAAGGTTTTAATGTAAACAACTTCAGACGTTTATTAATAGTATTACTGCAGCTTCCCAGCCGTCTGTTTTGATAGGGTTCATTGATAATTTAGCTCAGGCGCTTTCTAAACTTACAGGAATAAGTTCTCCTTGTTTATAATCTGAGCCTGTTCCACTGTGTTTTAACAGAGATGACCTATTAAGGTGTTTTAGCAGTGTGTTGTCAGGGTTTCTCTGCGTTTTAGCCCATCTTAGTCAGTCATATCAGACAGGAAGCTAAAGCCACTGATACAGACTCTTTTCCTGTGCATCTCTTTGAACATCATTGGCTACACTCAAACCAAGACCGTTTTAAAAAAAAAATTCTTAAAGAGAATCCACCAGTTAGTAAAGTTCTAAAACAATGTGATTCCATGGTCACTGATTAGTCTTCATGTACACATGCCCAACATGCTGGAGCAGTGACATTTACAGAGAAAAATATATAACTTAGAGTCTAAATGTACTAAGAGCTTATATAGGATAGGGTGAGAATATTTAGAGTATGGTGGCAGTCCAGCAGTGGTGCATCAGACCCATATATGGAGGCCTTAATCCACGACATACTGGATGTAAATCTCAAAACAGAGACTTTTGGTACACGTCTCTCCACTCATTTTCCACCCCCTTCCCTGTTTTAATTATAAATAATGGCCACAAACCCCTGTCTCTTTAAAAATACATTTACCTAAACCTTTAAAATAAAGTTAAAGGTGTAGTTAGATGCTGTACTGTAGGTAAAGAAACACCAAGTCAGTGTCATTTCTTTACAATCAGGTAAAATAATCTCCCAAATATCTTTACTTTCCTCTTCTTCTTTCAGTTTGTAAGAATTTGCTTCTTGTGACTATTTGCTGTTTTCAAAGTATAGGCTGAGAGCAGGGAATGTATAATAACATTGTCTGGAACCGAAGCTAACTGGATGCATAAATATTAGAAGTGTTCACAGGTAACAAAGGAAAACAGCACATCACAACGATCAGCATATGGGGGCTCTGGGGATCTCCTCCAGGGTCTGTGAGCCTGTTGGGGACTGGCCCCTGGACCCAGGAGGATAGTGCATGTATGAGGAGTTAAAGAATATATATAGTATAGGCCTGTATATGTCCATATGACTTAGAATTAGACAACTTTTATTGTCATTTTGTATACACAAAGTTTATACAAAAGGAATTTTGTTTAATCACCATTGTTTTGACTTTGACTCACATGGAAAGGATACCCGTTGCTCTTGAAACTTCTCTTTAAAGTTTACTTTGGTTGTCTGTTGTCTTCTTTTTTTGTTCTGTTCTCTGTTTTCTGTCCCTCTCACCTCTTACAGGTGGGGAAGCAGACTAGGAGTTACTGTTCCTTTTGTTTTGTCTTGTTTTCTCCCTTTTCATGCACTCTCTTTTATCTCTTTCTCTCTCCGCTTATTTTTCCATTCTCTTATTTTCTAACCTTCCTTTCCATCTCGATTGTTTATGATTTTATTCTCGGAATAATTTTCCAAAAATTTTCATATACCAGTACCAAGCAGAACCTTATGGCAAAAGTCGTAATGAACTGCTTGTAAAAGCTAATCTGTTGGGCTATCATCTAGCTCTGGGACATCTATTCCCAAAGCCATCTTGGCAAAACAGGACACCAAAAAGATCAGCATGTGGGACAACCGAAAGGTAAGATGTAACCCCATGAAGACCACCATAACGCTAAGGTTCTGAATCTTCAAAGAATATAAAACATTTTTTCAAACACGTATAATTGCTACGACTCGCTGCTTCCAGCTGTTATTATATTTTAAACAGTGTTTATATGCATGTTTTTAGTTGCACAGCTTTATTTTCCATCTTACCATAAACAGGTCTGTCTTTTTATATTTTAACCTTAACCATAAAGAAATCCCAACTGTAGTCAAATACAGTCTGAAATAAGCTGTCGATTTATGAAGCATTTCTAGACCTAATCTACTTTTAGCTGTCATTTAACACATCAACAAAGTTAGAGGATAGAGTGTTGATTTCACAGCATGTACTTGTTACAGCAGTACAAGTGGGGTGCATATAGGAAATGTGCAAAGAAAGGAGCAAGGCAATTGTGCAAAACAAGAAGTAATAACAGATTAAAGGTAACTTGTGTACAACACATCAAACCATAAAAAGAAGCAGAAATATAAACAAATCAACCCAAAAAAAGGGGAAAAAAAATCTACATCATGTACATCATGTGCAGAGCAAAAGCAGAAGCATAGTTGAGAAGTAGGTGTTAAAAAACACAGCAGCAGGGTTTGACGCTTACCTTTAAAGTCCACCTCTCCGTTCCCATCCGTGTCGAATATGTCGATAACCCTCTGCACCAGAGGGTTCTGTTGCAGCTCCGGCAGAGACATGAATTCCTCGACGCTGAGCGAGCCCGAGTTATCTAGGTCGAGTTTCTTAAACCTCTTCCCTAGCCTCTTAATCTCATCAGCATCGACTGAACAAAGAGAAAAAGAAAAGAAGACAGAAGATCAGGATGAGGCGTTTCCTGTTGGACTAAAGATCTAGATTATCATCTTGGTTATCAAAGCTGTTAGAAGCAGGAACCTTTATGTCAGAACACGAAGAATAAGAATTAAACAACCAAAGTTGACCTGTAAGGCAACATTTTTCAAACATGTGAAACAAAAACTGAACTACACATTTATGCAAATGTTAAGAAAATGAAATGTTTAGAAATTAGTCATAAACAGGGGAAAGCCAGCAGACCTGAAACTGACTGCTTCTAAATCAAAGAACCGCACAAACCAGAGGATGCCCTGCTCTGCTCTGAGCAACCATTTAAAAAAAAAAAAAAGGCAGTGGTAAAATAAAAGGTGGGGGAGCCAAAGAGGAAAGAAAAAAGTACCTGAACTCTGAAAACTTACAGCCTTTGTGGTCGACTTGTGCAGCTTTATTAGATGGAGTTTGGATCTTTTGTTTCCCTGCCATGAGGAGAAACCCTCACGTCTAAGGCAGCTGCACTAAGCACTGAGCAAGGAGTAATCCAGAAGCAATAATACCATCCGTTGATAATTACTATATAAGCTCATTCAAACACAGTCACATGACCCGGCCGGCCAACCACAAACTATTACTTTACGAGCTTTAAGGTGGGGTCCTAAACTACATCTTTAAAAGAACGTTGTGGCTAATTTATGAGGCCTTCTGGTTCTGATCAGATTAACTGAACCAAGAAAACCAGGTTCAATGGTATGACATGTGCTGCTGATAAGACATTTAAAACGCAAAACAAATCGATGCAAAAAAAAGATAAAAGTTCTGGTAGGTCAGGCAAAGTTTTTCCAAGATCATTTCATCCCCATTATAATAGATGCCAGCTTTAAAACAACAACCCTGGCTCCGTATTCCTGGTGGAAACTGTGCAGATTGCATGGTTTTGGCTGCAACGGCTCCATCCGTTGTGATTTGAACCAAACCCATGAGGCTGGAATAGTATGACTCCGCAGTTTTTTGACATGATGCAACGCAAGGCAAGGAGAAAGATGGTTGTGCATGGTGTTCTGCGTTTCAGCACTCCAGCAGCCGAGCTACATCGGCTCGATGACTAATCTGCATGTGTTGGAGGAGAAGTGGAAGAAGGAGAGAGGGTGAGAAACACAGATTGAGAGGAAGAGACTATAACCGAGGCCAATACAGGCAAAATATTTCAAAGCATCATGTTTGGTTTTAACTAGGGATGTCCCGAACCTTTGATAAATGAAAACGTTCCAATATAAGCTGTCAAAGGAAAATCTAAAGATGTCTTCCCGTATCTAAAAGTATCTATTTAAGCCATTGATTAATGAGAAATGGCTCAGTTGTTCTCATTCCTTAACTGTTTTTCTCAGTTCGAAAAATATCACTTCAAAAGTTTTCTAACAACAAAATAGGTAAGTATTGAAAGTTTGTATGATTTGTTCTGATATCAGGTCAATATTGGTAAATACTCAAATCTGCAACATCGAAACCGTATCGGAAATGTTAAAAGTTGTATGGAGACGTCCCTGGTTTAACATTATCCATCTTAAAACCATCACCTGCTCTATAGATACACTAATGTCGACATTTGGAGACAAATATAAAAGTTTGCTAAATTGATGCTAAATTGACTTTTTTATTACCAAACTGCAATGACACTTCCAGTTGATTTTTTTAATCTTTTAACCCCAAGCATTAAGTTAGGCTTAAGGGTTCCATTGTTTTTATGGCCTTTAATGTTCTATTGTCCAGAGTAGATGGATGGGTGGACTTTAAGGTTTCTAGCTCCCAAACTGATCCCAAACTGATCTTTGAACTAGCTGTAACCCTCCTTTTATTTCTGGGGTATCAAGCTCATGTAAACATAATACCACCACCTAAAGGGCGGGAGGCCTTAAATGTAAAATGGCCAAAAATCAAGGGCCTTTTTGTTTTAGATTTGCAGACAAAACTGCAATTATAATTATTTGTTTCACAATTTGGGGTACTGATTCACAGAAAATTATCTGACAAGTATGTTAAATTATTTTGAAGAGGTAAAAAAATTAATGTGGCTTTATGATTAATAAAGAAAGACAACATCTTTTTTATTTATGACTCAGTTTAATGCACTGGACAATGTAATGCATTGCTGGCAAAGAGAGAGAGTTTGGATCAAGCTTGCATTTTACTTTTTGTTGCCCTGTCCAATTGATTAGATTCCCAACATAAACAGACCACTCTACTATGTTTAGAACTAAGCAGAGGTCATTCTCCTCAGATGGTCCCGTATCAATCAGCCTAGGGCATTGATGGCAGCAAAAGTTTATCCAACAAGTAAATTATATCAGTTCAATCAAAATTTGTTAAAGAGGGGCACTTGAGATGTTATACCCTTTCAGGCATCACATCCAAGTAGATTTTTGTGTTTGAGGAAAATATGCTTAGCATGGCTATTGTAGCATTAATACATAGGAACCTGATTGAAACCAAATAAGACAGAATAAATTGCTAATTTTTATATGGTAAAATAGGCATGTACAGCACTTACTATAACATTTACTTCAGTTTTATCTAAATATTATTTTTGGCATTAATTATCTCAACCTATAAAATGTTACAAAAGTACCTGACAATATCACAAATTGTGGAAATAGGATTTAATTATTTTTGTTCACTTTTACACTGTATAAACATTTTAAAGCTTGTTTTGGCACAAAGCTGCCATCAGTGGTATCAGCGTCTTGTTAATATTAGGGTTGTCAAAAGTAGGCTTGTCCCGATCCGATCCACGTATCGGATCGGGACGCCGATATTGGCAAAAAAAATGCATATCGGCAAAGCATGTAAAATGCCGATCCAGACTGCCGATCCAGTTTTTTTTTTTAAATCCGGTCCGTATTTTCCAGTTTCGCCGATTGAAACGATCCATTCCACTATTTTGCGCCAGTGTTCGCCTGTTTTGCATTTTTATTAAAACTTACAGTAATACTTGCACCTTTAACTGTTTACGGTTTTACTGCTCACTGTGCAATTTCAGATTGCTATTCGTAATTTTGTCCAGTTTGTGTTTATCTCTTAATAAACAGGTAAGTTTGTTGTTACCAATCATTGTGTTTTATTCAATCTCACCTAATTCAGCTGGCTAGATGTTATCAAGAGTACTAAAACCCTTTTCAACATGAGTCTTACAACTAAGGCTAAATACTTTAACTTAAACTTAAATACATGCTCGGATAGGCTGGTATCGGCCAGTATCGGTATCGGATCGGAAGTCCAAAAACAATATCGGTATCGGATCGGAAGTGCAAAAACCTGGATCGGGACATCTCTAGTCAAAAGTATCGATACTCAAAAAAGTATCGATACTGAAATGTTGTATCCGGATACAATACTCATTTTCAAAAGTATCGAGTACCAGTTGCACCTAAACAGTCATTCATCTAAAGTGCAGAATAGAGGAAAATGCACTTTCTGAACACTATGATTGAATAATTCTGTGCACTTTTCAGTTTCAGACTTTTTTTTTGTAACAGTTGTAGCTGCTGAGAATTATTTTTGTTTCTTAACCGGTTTGACTAGTGTCATAGTTTTTTATCAAGCTTGCTAAATACTGTGCACAGCAAACAACCTCAAAATGTTGTTCTTATTGTTTATTGTATTTATTTATTTATTGTATTTTAATTATTAATCAAAATATTTCTGTTGAAATTTTATCCTTGTGGTATCGAAAATGGTATCGAGTATCGAATATTTTCCTTAGTATCGGTATCGAGTTGAAAAGTTTAGTATCGTGACAACCCTAGTTAATATTAAGAAACTGTTCATGATTGGTTAATGCCGGCAATATTGTAAAATTGTAAGGTATTGCCTGGATTGACCCTTTGGTGTTTTATCGTAATATTCTGAAAATTCAAAAGCAGTTTCTTTATTTTATTTTAAATGTTCTTATTTTAGTTCTTATCTTGTTCAGACCATGACCCTAAGTTGAATCCTCACTTTGCAGCCTGCATCTTATCGCAGTCTCCAATAAAATGCTTTTAAAGCAACAGTTTTTACATTTATGGCCTTGAGCAGGTAAATCTGTCACAATGTCCAGTAGCAGAAAATGGTGTCATCCGTCTTTCTTCTTTGCCTTAAAAATGATGTGGTAGCCTATGTGATAATGCATTCTGTTTAATGGCTCAAGGGTATGATGAATATCACTGAGGGGCATCGGGTTCACAAAACCTGAGGAGGAGAGATTAGCCTGGTTTACTGGTCTAACAATGTAATAGCAGAAAGCTACAGCGCAGCTATAAACAAGAGCCCCTCACTTAAATTAAGGCAGATATAAAGACAAAAAAAAAAAAAATTGGACGTTTATTAACAGGTGATAAAAGAAAAATCTTTTCATAAAATTATGGAAACTAGATCTGTCTGCCTTAGATGTAGGCCTACATGTTAAATGTATTAGGTTATTTTAGCTTGGTGAAAGTATTTCCCATTTCCTTTTGTGCATTTAGTAGCAATTCAAGAAACTTTAGCTCACAATTACTACTCTGTATCCAATTTCCATTAACTTTGCAGATTTAAAACATATTTATTAATAGCAGAAAGTCAGTAAATGAATTCAATTTGAAAGAGAAACAAATCCACAAACAGAGGCTTTTAAAATGTGATATTTTGTCCCCTGAGGGCGTCCGTGTCCACTAGGAACGGTTATCTGAGCTGACCAACTGACTCTTCTTTTGACACAAAACACGGTCTAATCAGCAGCCTCCTGTTTTCCTGCTCACAGCAGATGACAGCAGCCAAGCCCGTACATGGAGTATCAGTGTTACAGATTTAGTATTGCAAATCAAAGCCATGTTCAGGGGAGCCTGCTGCATAGCTAAATGCGTCCTTTTCACGGCCTGATGTGAAATCTGTAACAGCTGAGTGATGCAAGCAGCCAAATAACAGAAGGTATGGGGTTAAATCACACATTGAAGTACTGAAAGATCTGTTCTATACAAT